AGTGGGATGTGATCAAGGAAAAAACAGGGAGGATAGCTTGTATTGATGGTGACTTTAGAGTTTGGCATCAGGATGCTGGTTCTTGCCTTGATTCGTACAAAGACGCAGTATGAGAGATTGGGGGTTCGGAGGGTCCTTCTTTGGAATGATACCATTCTCAAGGTTCCGTTCCTTTTCTGTTGATTATAAGCGCGTAGTTATTCGGAGGGCGCTTGTTTTGGATTCGATGCCGTATTGGGTATTCTTTCTGTTCATTGTAGGCGAATTCAAGTCGCCCACAGCGGGCAAGCGATGACGCGGGACGGTGTACTTCAATCTGGAAAGGCCGTGAGAGATCTTGCGCGATGGCCCCGCGTAACCTGTTGAGATGCGGACACTGGTGGAGAAAGAGTCCGTCGAGCAGAAGTGCAGGACGTGCCGTGAGCCATCTTTCGCGATGCTCTGCGGGACCTGTGCGGAGAAGAGGATTCGCTGCGGTTCCGCCAAAAAGCACCCACGGATATGCCTTTCGAATGGCATGTGTCCGTCGACCCGGAGACTGGTCACTTCGGCGTGTGTCTGAAGGTCATGTGCCGGTCTTCTGACTGTCCCCAGCTATCTACAGCTGACCGCGACCGTCCCCAGCTATCTGAAGCTGATCGCGAAGAGACAACTGCCGGTTCACGATGATGGGCGACATCTGCTAGGAATTTGGACGTTCGTGGTTCTCGAGCAGGAACGAAACAAAAAGCGGTTTAGTCCCGTTCCCGTTCCTTCCTCGGCGATCGCTGGCGCGTCGCTGCCGGCGAGGCGGGTCCGTACTGGGTTTAACCCCTAGGATAATTTTCCACTCCGAACAATTCCACGAACCAAAAAACGATGTGGGTTCCGGATTATGTTGCAGATGTCGCCTTAAGTGGGGTTTCGCTTCCTCCTCTCTGTTACTGGATGTCGTCGATGTACGTCGTCCCGTTCGCGATGTCTGTCTAATGTAATTGATGCACTCGTTCAACGTTCGTTGCGATAGAGTGTAGTATAGTCTATAGCAGCAAACTCGGTGTGGGTGACCGCTTGTTGTACATGTTGCACTGCCTGGTTGGCTTCTTATAAGAGCCTGGAGATGTTGCATGCGGAAGTTGCAGCTAGTAGTGACAGTGATGCACGAGGTTTCCGAGGCTCGGTAGGCGTCCTCGGTCGAAGCTCCCCCGACATCTTGCGAGGCTAGCTGCTTTTGTGATGCCAGCGTGTGCTGAGTCGACGATGACGAGGTGTGGCACCCTGACCGATGGTATCCAAGCGCCGTAAGCAGGTATGATGAATGATGTGTGTGTGTGTGTGTATGTGTGTGTATGTGTGTGTTTGGGGGGGGGGGGGCGGGGCAAGCAGGAAATTGCCAACTCCGGATCTATTGCATGGTAAACGCCTCGCGTTGTTGTGCTGATGACGATTATGACGCTGAAGCATGAAGGCTCAAGTGTGCAGTTCTTCAGAACTTTCCATTGTTTCGTGAAGCGGTGTGCTTCTCCTTCTAGCGCTGGGTCTTCTGGTTTAGTTCTCGGTGGAGTGTGCTCCTGAGTGCCTCATGCCATGGCGCACGTGAACGACGGTCGGTACGCCAGTACGCCAAGAGAACGAGCCAAAAGAGAGCTCGTTGACAGATTGGTGAGTCTGGAGAAGAGGCAACGTGAGGATGAGACGACCGGGCTGGATGCGGCAGATATCGCTGACTTGGGTCGAGGAGTTCTCCGGGGACAATATCTGCGGGCGTGGCAAAAAGTGATTGCGGCTCAGCCCAGATGGGTGTGGGAAAACGAAGACGAAACACCGGAGGATGAGAAGTCCGATGCAAGTGATCTGGAGGACATGGAAATTGGGGACGGTGTCCTGCGTGCAGCGAAAGCTGCGTTGGTTCGGTTGTGGCGACATGAGGTTGCAGAGAATGACCCAGAGCTCACTCAACGACAGCTGGGAGGAAGACAGGGCGCCTACCTGCGCGGTTTGGCAAACTTCTCCTGGCGCGATACGTTGGACGAAGCTCGGCGTCGTTTGGGCCTAGTCGCATGGAAGCGTTGGGTGGAACAGGTTCGGATTATGCAAGGGCCGCGCGATCCATAAATGAGTATGGTTGTTCTGGCTCGCTAGCCGGGCAACGGACTTAGTCTTGCGAAAGTTAGGTGCTGCGGAACTGCATGGACGCTGTCTTGCGAAAGTGCGGGGCTGCGGTCACCTCGTGGCCGAGGTGTTGATTCCTCGCAGGGCTGGCTGCGCTTGCTGCGGCAATGATAAAATGCATTTGTTTTTTGCACATGAGTGAAAAACATGTCGCTGTGTTCGAATGTAGTTTCAAGCATTGGGTCGGTGGATTGAGGTACGTGGCAGAAAGCAGCATTCACGTCCTGTGTCGTCGCAAGGGCCTTATCAGCGAGATCGATGCTAGTGTGTGTGGAAGGGGCAGAGGGGGCAGAGGGTGAAAGTTACTGTGCAAGTGTTATGACTCGAGTGCAAACGAGTGTGAGTCGCCATGGACCCGTGCATGTCGAGCTCGTGGTCATGGTATGAAAGTCGTCGTGAGGGCTACGCATCGTTCTCCGACCGATCATGGTTCGCTGAGAAGGGCAAGGACGCAACAGACGCATGGTGCCATTCGGAGAAACGCAAGGACGTGAAACCTTCCTGGTGCGCTTCGGAAGAGTCTAAGGGAAAGGCCTCTACCGTGTCGACTTCGCAAGAAAACGATGGCTGGCAGAAGTGGACATGGCAAGATTCGTCGTATTTTGCCGATGGAAACAATGGCTGGGAGGACTCGACAGGGCAAGATTCGTCTTGGTGGTCATGGAATGATCCAAAGGAGGCACCCGCTCGACTGAAATCATCCGCTGCCGCACACCGGGATACGACTGCCTCCAAGGAGCCGGAGGTTGTGGAGATCAGCAGCGATGATTCCTCAGAAAATTGGGGACAATGGGGAAAAAAATGGAGTGGCCCATCAGGTGCGTCCTGGCCTTCAAGGGATTCCTGGTCGCAATGGGCTTCCAAGTCTCGAAAGGCACCAGTGGAAGCCCGAGAAGCAGAACCCAAGAGATACAAGTATGATCCGACCACCTCCAGGGGCAGGAGCAACCACGACGATTACGATTACGTGGACTGACGATTGAGTGCGGCTCCAGCCGCCGAATGGACGCTGTCTTGCGAAAGTTCGGTGACGCGCGGCCGGCCGTCGAATGAACGCTGTCTTGCGAAAGTTCGGCGTCGCAGAGCTGCGGTTTTCTTTTCACTCATGCGAAAGTTCGGCGACACACAGGCAGTGTGGTGAAAATGCATTCGTTTCTGCACATGAGTGAAGCAGTAGCTTGGACCAGGAATGCAGTACGTTGTCTCAGGTTCTTCCTTACTCTCCATTGCGGTGCGACGTGGCTCGATTGAGATTCGCATGAGTTGTATGCAAGTCGCCGGCGCGAGATACTAAAAGTGTGCATGACTGTCGCAGGGCAAGTACCTTGCTGCCAGGCGCGGGAACTGAGACCAGCGGTGTCGACCACCAGCTCGACCGTGGAGGCCTGGCCCGGGGCATGTCGCAGTTACAGACATAGAGACAGAGAGAGAGAGAGAGAGAGAGAGAGAGAGAGAGAGAGAGGATGGGATTATAAGAGGCGAACAGAGGTGTAGTGTCTGCGCAGAGTCTCCAGCATTCTCCTGGGGCTTCACCAGCTTCTCCACTTAATCCTTAGGGCAACGCCGCGGGTGGCGGCCCTGTGCACAGTGAGTCGAATCGGGCTATGTCGCTTCCCTTGAGTTTTCTGATCGATGACTCTGTCACTTCTTTCACGGCGGAATCGGATGCGCGCACGGGGCAACCAACCCTCTCGGCCCGCTTTAGCATGGTCTTGAAAATGGAGATTCCTGCATTGGTGGAGCTGCTATCCAAGACGGCAGCGGCGGAGAAATCCCTGAACAAGTCCGCAAATCGAATTGCGTCAAGCTGTGGATCCCCTGAGACGGATGAGACCCGTCCGCCTATAAGGCTGAAACCGTCCTGTCCCCCAACGGCAAAAGTGATGGTGGACGAGTTTTCCAAACGGCCGACGCTCAGGGTACAGACCCACTTCAACTTGGATATGGACATGGCCGGACTTGTTGAGCTGCTCGCCCGCTTGGCAGGGCTCACCGGGCAGCCGGAGAAAGCATCCTCTCCCGGGCTGACAGGCAAGACAAGGTCTGCCGGTGATGCGAGCAAGGCCAAGTCTCGTGATTATTGGAAAGATCGCCACGCTAAAAGGTTGACATTTTGGGAGCAGCCCATTCAGGAATTTCATGCGGAACTTCATGCGAAGTATCACCAGGACTACAAGTGGAGCAGTGCGGAGTTCGAGGGCGAGCAGCCTGTCTTTGTCATGTCTCGAGAGCAACAGTCCACATTCCGGGATTTGGTCTTCGATCCGCTCGAACTGCCTGAACGTCAAAGAGTGACTCATGCGAACTACAAGGAGGCGGACTCGAAGCGTTTTCCACAGCCTGAAGAGGAGCAAATGCAAGGTGGCGCGGTTGAGATAGGCTTGCATTCGCTTGGTTCTGCGAGTGCTAAAGACCAGGGGGTGGATTCCGAGAAGAACAGGGGTTCGATGATTTGCAGGAGACCCCGCGAACGCGAAGAGGGAAGGCTCTATCCTTCGAGTCCTGGTTGCAAACAACAGTAATTTTGCTCATCGCATGCTTGCCGCCGAATGGACGCCGTCTTGCGAAAGTTCGGTGGCGCTGCGGCCGGCCGTCGAATGGACGCTGTCTTGCGAAAGTTCGGCGGGGCAGGGCTGTTGGCTTCGTTTCACCGACGCGAAATGTTCGGCGACGCACAGTCAGGCATATGTGTGTGCAAGGGAAGCTTTCCGTCAGCTTGATAGTGGAGTCGGCAATTCCAGGCGGAGCCTTGTTGGGATTCCGGACCCCCCCCCCGTCCCCTTCTCACTACTGCTTGCCAACACCCCAGAGGTCTTTCTGCCCTCCAATCGAAGCTTCGAATGGAAAGGCCGGGGGTTCGGGCAGCGGGGGTTTAGGACTTAGACCAGCATCCACCAGAGGCATTGGGGCTGGGTGCTGCGGTGTCTTCGTCCGGGCTTATGAATTCAACTTATCGGAATTTGGTAGTTGTGTTTGGTTGCTTCGTGGTTTGTATGATCGGGACCTCGTTGCTTTGGGGCTGGGGGGTCTCGGGCATTGTGGTATTCGGGCCAAATGCCCTGCGGTATGCTTTGGCATTTTGTTCGGGGCGTTGGGTGTAGAGGTTTAGTGCATGGGTGAATTTCGTCGGGTGCTTTACAGGGCCTTGCGATGGTTTGGCTAGGTGCTTGCCAGCAGAGACTAGGCGTGGTCGAATCAGCGTCGAATTGGTCCGGCTGAAGGAAACAGTCTTCGGTGGTTCGCTGTTTTTTCAGCGTGTCCGAAATCTGGCCGTGAGTTGGATTGGCTTATGGCGTTGCAGCTCTCGTAGAGACGTCGCTTCAATTGAGTGTGGAAGTGCTTGTCTTCGTGAGTGTGATATCCTAAGCGTTTGGTGGTGCCCGCTCTCTAGGCTCTGCCTAGGCCAGCCGCGGCAGGCGGCATCGGCAGCGCAGGGTGCCCGCGGAGGACGCGGTCTTGCGAATTGCACCTGCCTCCAGTGGGCGCTCCTGACATCTGGTCCAGTGTGAACAGCTTCCCGAAAACGTTACGAGACAGGCGTGGCATTCGGTCTCGGAATAATCGACGACTTCTGGCATTGCGAGCTTTACAAAGCTGTCAAACATCGTGGAGGGAAAGAGAGCACATCGTGCATGCGCAATTCGTGCCCCCAGCTAGACCTTAGATAACACCTCGTCTAAGCCCTACTGACTGAGCTGCGGAGGTTGCTTTAGCCGTACTTCTTTTAAGGCCGGCTCTAGACACGGTGGCATCCAAACTCCTCAACAGCCCGATCTTTGGGTTTTAGCCTGGACCCTCCTCCGCCTCATGCCAGCAATCTGCCACAGCGGCAACACAGGCTGTTTCGGCTGCCGGCTCGCTTATTTCAGGTTTAGCTCTGACTTAAGGTAATTTAAGTGGCCACCGTCGTCTTGCCAGCAGTGTTTATGTTCTTACTTGTTTTGGTATGTGTACAACAACCAAAACAGTAGAGGCCGCATCCCTGACCCTTAGTGTCTTCTCTCCTAGCATCTGGAATGCAGCTACTTCCCACACTTGAAGGCTCGAAGATCCCATAATTAATCTGATCGGGTATCTTTTGTGTTGGGGCTGAAGGTCGCTCTGATTTAGGGTAAGTGCAGTTGCAATCGTAGTTTTTCTCCAGCCGTGTTTATGCCCCGTTTGTTTTGTAGACAGAGTGTACAACAACAACCAAAACAGCAGAGGCCGCCTGCCCGACCCTTAGTTTCTTTTCCTGTAGCATGGGAATGCAGCTACTTCCCACATTTGAAGCATTTCAAGGCCTGAAGTCTCCTGCGCCCCCCCCCCCCCGCTGGTAATGCGAACACCCCGGAATCCGATCAGGCATCTTCTGCGTTGCGGCCGAAGGTCGCGAACCCTGGTCTGGGTTGTGTGCGGTGAGTTGCATGTCGTCTTGCAAGCAGAAGGACTCTACGGGAAGGATCATCCGCGCCTTCGTGCGGGGACCTTATGTGGATGTATTCAGAGCCTCGGCTGTCTCAGACCGGCATGTGTCGTATGATACTCTGCCCTGCACGTGATGTCAGTCTCGCGCAGCTTGGTTCAACATCAGCGGCATAGCAGCTTTGATCTGTTTGTGGGCTGTGCAGACGCCGTCTTGCGAAAGCACAGGGTGAGTAATGACAATTTCTGCCATGAGTGAACTTCGTGTCTTCGTGGGCCTGACAGCCGATCAGTCGGATCGAGTCCTGGGCGGAGGGCAAGTGGGGGGTACGCACAGGGGTCGCTAGCCGCCGAATGGACGCTGTCTTGCGAAAGTTCGGCCGGCGCGGCGGAGCCCATGTCGTACGGTTAGCACGGCGATGATAAAAAGCATATGCGTCTGCACACGAGCGAAATGCGTGTTTTCGTGTGGACGCTGTCTTGCGAAGTTCAGTTGCTGATCCTGATACTGGTCGCGGCGCCGGCAGTTTGGAGGACGCTGTCTTGCGAAGTCCAGCTGCCGGCGCCAGCAACTTGAAGGACGCTGTCTTGCGAAGTTCAGTTGCTGATCCGGATCCTGGTCGCGGAGCCGGCAGTTCGGAGGACGCTGTCTTGCGATCAGGCATCTTCTACGTCGTGGCCGAAGGTTGCGAAGCCAGGTCTGGGTTGTGTGCGGTGTTGTGCTCTTAACCGAAACGATCGTCGAGAAACTCGCATGTCGTCTTGCAAGCTGAAGGACTCTACGGGAAGCATCATCCGTGCCTTCGTGCGGGGACCTTATGTGGATGTATTCAGAGCCTCGGCTGTCTCAGATCGGCATGTGTCGTATGATACTCTGCCCTGCACGTGATGTCAGTCTCGCGCAGCTTGGTTCAACATCAGCGGCATAGCCGCTTTGATCTGTTTGTGGGCTGTGCAGACGCCGTCTTGCGAAAGCACAGGGTGAGTAATGGCAATTTCTGCCATGAATGAACTTCGTGTCTTCGTGGGCCTGACAGCCGATCAGTCGGATCGAGTCCTGGGCGGAGGGCAAGTGGCGGGTAGGCACGCTGCCGCAAGCCGCCGAATGGACGCTGTCTTGCGAAAGTTCGGCCGGCGCGGCGGAGCCCATTTCGTACGGTTAGCACGGCGATGATAAAAAGCATATGCGTCTGCACACGAGCGAAATGCGTGTTTTCGTGTGGACGCTGTCTTGCGAAGTTCAGTTGCTGATACTGATCCTGGTCGCGGCGCCGGCAGTTTGGAGGACGCTGTCTTGCGAAGTCCAGCTGCCGGCGCCAGCAACTTGAAGGACGCTGTCTTGCGAAGTTCAGTTGCTGATCCGGATCCTGGTCGCGGCGCCGGCAGTTCGGAGGACGCTGTCGTGCGATCAGGCATCTTCTACGTCGTGGCCGAAGGTTGCGAAGCCAGGTCTGGGTTGTGTGCGGTGTTGTGCTCTTAACAGAAACGATCGTCGAGAAACTCGCATGTCGTCTTGCAAGCTGAAGGACTCTACGGGAAGCATCATCCGCGCCTTCGTGCGGGGACCTTACG